CCAGTGAGGGAAAGGGCTGGGATCCAAACACAGGCTGGGATGTGTGCTAATGATTGCAACTTACTTTGAAAACCTTAAAAATATATACTGAATTAAGAGCCCTGGGATGGTCTACACTTGACTAGTAACCCAAAGGTTACCTGTTTGAACCCACCCAGGGGAACTGCAGGACCTCAAGGGCTGGCAAGTGGCTTCATACGATTACAGCCAACCCAACTGCGGAGCCTACAGAAACCTTCAGAAGCCACACTTGTGAAGACATCAGACCAGAAAATTAGTCCATATCTGTCTAAAATGAATCACTCAAGAAAACAACCACATCTTTTAAAACACAAAGGAAAGTACCAGAAGAAATGGTTAAGAATTAAAAGTGGTTGTCCTTGGAAAATAGCGTTGGGAAGGGAAGGGAAGGTGCTGCTATTCCAACCAATCAACCCATTGCTAAGGAATCAATTTTAACTCATAGTGACCCTATAGGATAGAGTAGAACTGCCCCATAGGGTTTCTAAGACTGTCATCTTTATGGAAGCAGATGGTCACCATCTTTCTTCTACAGAGCAGCTGGTGAGTTCAAACTGCTGACCTTTCAGTTAGCAGCCCAGCACTTTAACCACTGTACCACCCAGACTCCTTATTAGTGCTATTTAATGTATATAAATATACAGGTATACAGAGAGAGAGAGAGAGATCCAGGTGGTTAGGAGCAGGAATTGCCAGAGAAGAAATACAAAGGAAATTTCTAGGGCTATGGTGACATTCTGCATACTGATTGGGGTTTGGAGCACTGGCTCAAACTCAGCTGCTAACCAAAAGGTTGATGGTTCAAACCCACCAGAGGCTCTGCCAGGAGAAAGACCTAGCACTCAGCTTCTGTAAAGATTACAGCCAAGAAAACCCTATGAGACAAAATCCACTCGAAGGCACCCAACAATAATATGCGTTGGTCTAACTCACTAAACGGTATCCTTAAGATCTGTGTGTTTCACTGTATGTAAATTTTATTTCCGAAATAAATGTCAACAAATATTGGACTCTAGTTAGTGATATATGTCCAATGTGTTTAAGGGGGATGTGTACTAATGATTGCAACTTACTTTGAAAACCTTCAAAAAATACATTGAATTCAGGTCCCTGGGTGGCACAGATGGTCTACACTCGACTAGTGACCCAAAGGTTGCCTGTTCAAACCCACCCAGGGGAACCACGGGAGATCAAGGGCTGGCGAGCAGCTTCATACAATTACAGCCAACCCAACTTTAAGCCTACGGAGTCCCTCCAAATGAATTCACAAACAAAATAAATGCCCCAACAACAGCTCTAGATAGATGGATGGGTGGGTGGGTGGATGGATGGATGGAGAGATAGATAGAAATGATGTGATAATGAATGGCTAGAGAGAAGGATAGATAGGTAGGTCCACAATGGAGCAAATATAACAAAACAGTAACAACTGTGAATCTAGGTAGTGGGTATATGAATGTTCACTACAATTCTTTGAACTTTTCTATATGTTTGAAATCTTTCTTAATGAATACTTGGGGGAATATATGCATACATTACCTGAAAAATAAGTTTAAAGGGAAAATCCGGGACAGGGTGTTCCATCTTGAGTAGGAATGGACTCCAAGCCCTCCCATGTGCACGTCTCTCTGGGAGGCAGATGTCACTATACCTGTGGCTATTTAACCCCCTACCCAGAGATTTCAGTCAGGGACCTCGAGCCTAATTCCTCATGCCTCCCCACCCCACTGCATTGCTAGGACAGCAGGCAGGACAAGGGTCTCCTTCCCCTCATCCCCTTGAATGCTCAGTAGCAGAACCACACCTATCTTCCCAGGGATAGGAAGAGGGCCCTCTAGCTATATCCCAACCTCTCAAAAGGATAAACTGAGGCCCAGCAGGTGGGGGAGGGGTGCCTCTCCCAGTAGCCCTTCACACCTTCATGACAGAAATGAGCAGCCAGGTGGCCTGACTCCCAAGCCCATGTGTATATAATTAGCTGGTGGGAAATGCATCAGGGAGCAGGTCTCATCTTGGCCTAATTAGGGGCTAGGCAGCTGGGGCTGGACCAGCCTGGGGCACCTGCTACAAGGCCACTGGCCCCAGGAGACTGGGGCCGCAGCTGCAGGCCCTTAGAGGGGCTGAAAAGCAGTCACTCTCACTCCCTCTCCAACCGGAGGTGGAACAATAGAGGAGCTGTTCCACACAGAGCCCGAGGCTGGAAGGCTGGCAGGTGGTGAGCCTCCAGAATCCTGGGGAGGGGGAGCCCTCTCAGTCAGGCAGGCCCTGTTGGAAAAGTCAAGGCTCAGCCTGGTGTCTTCCCCACTTCTAAGAAGACTTCCCTGCTCTCTTACAGAGAAGAGAGGGAACAGGCTGCGGAAACGCCCTTCCCCTACCTCCTGGCCCTGCTGCTGGGTAAAGTCCCTGAATGTCCTTCCTCTACATTAAATGACTATGTGTTTGCTGTTGAACAGTTGCCCACCCTCTCTCCAAAAATAAGGCAGGGGGCCTGTCTGTTTTGTTCACTCCTGGACACCCAGTAGGTGCTCATTAAAGAGGCCAGAAGCAATGGCCCTAGGTCAGGACTGGGGAGAGAGACGGGTTCCGTGTTGGGAGACTCAGGACTCCTAGTGCCACTAGCCAGTGTCCAGCAGGCCAGGTTAGATCCCAGACTGTCTTGCAGACCTGCTGTGTGGCTGAACTTCCTGCTCGAAGATAATACTCAAAGTCACCTTAGGATTGATTCAGTGACAGAACAGGTGTGAAGGGCCCAAGCTCAGCACTGAACACCTCCTTCAGGAACAAGAGGGTCCCCCTACCAGCCCCCAGACCTGTGATCTGAATCTCATTTTCTTTACATGTAAAATGCAGCCCCCTCCTCGGTGGCAGGGGATGGGGGGGCCAGTAGGTCACTAAAAAGGGTAAAGGTCAGCACAAAATTCCAGCAGGGCTCCCCAGAGGGACTGGTCTTGGCTGTCCCTAGGGCCATTACCTCTGTAGGGCCTGCCAGCATCATCCTCCCTGGCTCCTTCACTCTATTACCAAGGAGGCCCAGGAGGCCCAGCCCTGGCTCTATCAAATCTGCTGGGCACTTGTGGACAGGTCATTGTCCTCCCAGTGCCTCAGTCTCCCCATCTGTATCATGCAAGGATGGACTCAGTTCTCATGAGCTCAAACACCATCGTCTTCTAGAACCCGATTTCACCTTTCTGGTGGCGTAGTGCCTAAGGCATTTGACTGCTAACCAGAAGGCTGGTGGTCCAAACCCACCAGAAACTCCTCAGAAGGAAGATTGGACAATCTACATCTGTAGAGATACCACCTCGGAAACCCAAGGAGGGGTCGCTATGAATCTAATCAACTTGACGGCAGTGAGTTTGGTTTTTTGGTTTGTCCCCAAACCACCAAGGTCCAGCCAAAGCCTCTGGGGACTGGTGTAGGCTGTCAGACAGACAGACGGACAGCTGGGCTGACCTAGAAGTTTGTCAACAGCCTGACGGAAATCTCCTCTTTATGCTTAAAATAAAACCCACATCAAACCTGTCACCAGCACCCCATTAGAGCTTCCTGTTTCTGAAGCTACAACCAAGGCAGCCTGCAGGAGAGGAAGTACCACCCAGCCCCTCCCTACTCCCACCCAGAGAGGCGGGGAAGGGGCCTAGGGCCAGAGGCCATCCCAGGCTTTCACCCTTTGTTTGCCAGACCCAAGGCCCTTAGCCTGGTAGCTCCAGCAGGGAAGGCCTCACCATGTGCAACTAACCTGGTGGGAGATGGGAAGAAACTGAGACTTCAAAGCCAACCATCAGCCCCTTCTTCCCCTTTCCCCAGGTGATGGACACAGGCACCAAGGACCCAGAACACAACAAACAGTGTGCCAACCCAAAGAGGACTGTGCCATCCAACTCTCCCTCTGAGGTCCAGACAGGGAGAGCAGCTTGCCCAGGGTCACCTGGAGTTGCCCAGGAAGGCAAGGGTCTTGGTTTTGTGGTCTCCAACCCAAGCCACTCTTCCTCCAAGAACTCCCACATTCAAGGCTCCCTTGACAGCCTGAGTGACCCCAAGTTCAGAGCTTGCCTCTCTGAGCTTCCCATTCTTTTGAGAACTGGGCAGGAGGTGGGATAGGGTAGAACACAGGCAGTCAGGGGAGGGCCCATGCACCCCTGCCAACCTTTCCCCTGCAGACCTCCCTACCAGGATAAGTTCTAATCAGGACTCACTCTGTAGCTGGACCTGTTTGGTCCACTGTGAAGTAAGTTGACAGTCTGCCAGTCTTCCACAGGCGTTACGTGAACCCCCTGCAGAGGAATCTCAGGACAGGCTAGCAGCTGACCTCCTGCCCCAGCAGATCCTGGGCTTAACAAAGATTGAGTTTGAAAGCCCACCCCATCCTACCCCCTCCCCTGTGAACACAGAAGAGTCTGAAGACTTAGCTCTTGAGAAACAAGCAGTTGTGTTTATTAACCAAGGGGAGGGAAGTCCGAGCAGTGCCAACTCCAAGCCAGTTCCTCCTATAATCTACCCACCTAGGCCAAGCTGCCAACAACCCCAAAGAACAGTGGATAGGCTACTTCTCCTTGGCCCCCGCCCCAGGCGAGTTCCCAGAGAACCCGGATCCACTGGGTAAGGAAGAGGAAGTTAGCAAATGACAGCGGTCAAGGAAGGAAGGAGGAAACAGAGCCAGCGGGCAGACAGGGGTAATGAGACCCATGGCCCCTCACTGTTGGTGGGCAGGGCCAAGTGCCCCAAATCCAACCCCAGGACAGGAATCAAGCAGGGGTAGACACATGTCAAAAAACCTGCATGGAGGGATGGGGGCTGTCTCAAGGTCAAGAGGCAACTCCCTCCAAGGTCAGTCCTCGCCAGATGGGTGCTGGTCCGGCCTCTGATCCTTTGCCTCTGTACCAAGTTCACTAGAGGCAGGGAATGGATCCAGGAGCGGTCAAGGGCCCAGTTGCATCTCTAAGATCTGTCCTGTGGCAAATGCCTTGTCCAGCGGAGGCCTAGCACTCGACTGCTGGGCTCTCCCGTGCCTGTCGCAACCCGTACAGCCACTTGATCACGCGGGCATTGCGCTCTACCACTGACACACCATATGGGACACGCTCCCGGGCCCGCTCCTCAGCAGTGGCAGAGCTGCGGCGGGAGCAGCCCCCCTCAGAGCTGCCTGGCCCAGCACTGGGCCCAGCCAGGGACACGATGTCTGAGCTGGCCCGAGCCAGGTGGGCCACACCCAGCCCTCGTGCCTCCTCTGGGTCCAAGCCACAGAAGTTAAAAAAGCGCTCAAGGTCAGCTGCTGCCCTCGAGAAGCGCTCACTCAGGTCCGACTTGGAACGCTGCAAACCTGGTGGCCGGGCAGGGCTGGAAGCAGCTGCACTGCCTGGTGATGGGCAGGGCTGGGCACAGGGCGTAGGCATGGGGCGGACGTCCACTCGGCGGACAGCAGCCGTGCTGAGTTGTGGCCGTGGGGGTGTGGCTGGGAGGTCCTGACGCGTTCTCTCTGCCCGCCCAGGGGTCCGGCTGGCCTCAGCAGGGGACACAGGACTGTCACACAAGTTGATGAGGCTGCTAAGGATATCCAGGTCCAGCTGGGGCCGGCGGCCAGGGCCGGGCAGGGCTCGGCGGCTAGGCGTGAGCACTGTGCGGCGAGTCCCAGGGCTGAAGAGTGGCTGTTTGGACAGCAGGGGCTGCACGGGCTCCTGGCGGGTGGTGGCCACATGCAAGCTCTTGACATACTTGGCTTTGTCTGCCTCCAGGCGCTCTACAGCACTGGGTTTCCGAGCCCCACTGTCTGCCGGCCGCCGCAGCAGGTAGCCAGGGACCTTGGTTCGTAGACGGAAAGGTAGGGCTGGGGTGGCAGGGGACCCAGGGGCCAGTGTGTCCATAGGCATGGTTGTTACATACCCCGAGGGCTTCGGTCTAAGGAGTCTGGATAGATGAGGAGATAGATCCAGGCGGAAAGTTGGCAGCTGGGCACTGGTGATGGCTGCAAGAAAGGAAAGAAAGAGGCTGAGCACACTTAAACAAAGGCTCGGCCAACGCTGAGAGGCTGAAGGCTCCTTCTCTATTATAAGGAGAAGGCCACGCCCCTGCCTCACAGACAGCCAATCAGCAGGCAAAAAGCAAAGGCTGGAGCGCTGCCCCGGCGGCTCCGCCCACTTCCCCTCCCTCTTCAGGGACCAGACTCCGCTGAAGCAGGGGGGAAAAAAAAAAAAAAGTGCCAGGAGACAGAAGAAAGGCATGGGGCAGCCTGAGGGGAAAAGACAGGGCACCATTGATTTAATGGGAGCAAAGCGGGTCCCTGGCCCTGTGCTGGAGGCCAGCCAACTTTACCTCTGTGGGTCTTCTCAACAACCCCATTTTGCAGATGGGGAAACTGAAGTGTAGGAAAGAAATGCAAAGCCAATCCAGCAATTTGGTGGTTCTGCCCCAGGAGGTCAGCTGGACTAGCACCTTACTTCCATGCTGGGAGGTGCTGGTGCAGGGGTCTTGGGGTTGGGTGATTAAGTGAAAGGGTTCCAGCCCCACACCCCAGCCAGGCACCTGGTACCACCTCCACCCCTCACCCACCCAGGCAGGAAGCTGCCCGGTGCCATCCACCCGCCTAGACATGCCAGGCCTCAGGCACAGGAGCAGAGCTTATTGGGGGAAGGAGTGGAGAAAGTCCCCACCCCCACCCCAGTCAGTCCAAATACCCGTCAGCTTCCAGTATGGGACGGTAAATGCCAGGCCCACAGAGCTCTACAGATGCCACTGGGTAGAAACGTCAGCCCTGAGCTATGCTGCTCAAGAGAAGCTGGAAATGCCCACAATCACACAATGGTGCCAGGTGCATCCAGCAGGTTCCCGACCTGCCAGTAACCATAGGACGGGCACCCGGAAGCAGGAGGGCCCATGTCCAAGTCCACAAGAGTCCACATGATCACCCAAGCATCAGGGCCTCGTGGCTCAGGTGTCAGGCACATCTGTCCTGCTTCCAAGAAAGGGCCAGGGCCACAAAGCCAAGTATGGGGCAGAAGAAAACCCATGGACCCAAGTTCTGAGCCTTCTCCTCTATAAAATGGAGGGTGGGGCTTAGTCTAGGAAATTCCCAAGAGGACTGGCAATACAGGCCACTAAACCCATGTTGTCAAAGTCAACAGCCACTAGCCACAGGTGGTTATTTAACTTTAAATGTACATTAAATAAAAATTTAAATTCAGTTCCCAAATCACACTAACCACACTTCAATGTTCAATAACCACATGTGGCCAGTGGTCACTAGACAGTCACTATACTAGACAGTACCATCATTGCAGAAAGCTCTAGTGGACAGCCCTACCCACAGATTCAGAATTCCAGCGGGGAGGGAGTCTGGGGTGGCGGGAGGCAGTGGAGATCCTATCATGGGCCATACATTTGACACCGTCTTCTCTTGTAATCCAGCAAGCTTGTGAGGTGGATCACTGTCACTCTGTTTTACAGATGGAGAAACTGAGGCTCAGAGAAGTGAGTCTCCGAGCTGATATATGACACGTACTCAGATGAATCCTACCCAGGCCACACTTATTTTAATACCGCACCCTGTCACTCACCACCACACTTCCAGCACCCCTACCCTGCTATTTCTTTTCTCCTTATCACTTACCACCTTCACAAGTCCCAAATAATTCACTCATCTCTTATGTTTATTGTCATTTTATTGTTTTTCATTCATATCCCCCTAAAATGTCAGCTCCATAAGGGAAGAATTTTTGTGTTTCATTCACTGGATCTCATTTACAAACATTGCTCAACGCATAGTAAACCAAACCAAACTCACTGCCAACAAGTTGACTGCAATTCACAGTGACCCCCACTGAGGTTCTAAAGCTGTAAAACTTTTCAGAAGCAGGCTGCCTCATCTTTCTTCCACGGAGTGGCTGGGGGTTTGAAGCACTACAACACCAGGGCTCCTTCAACACACAGTAGTAGAGAGTCAATAACTATTTGTTGAATTGAAATGCCTGCAGGCTCCCACGTGGGCAGGCAAACCAGGAATGAAGTGGAGAGTGGCATACCCAGCCTACCGCAGGCAAAAGGACCAGGGGCAGACAGCGAGGGTTCTAAACCAAACCAAAAAAAAAAAAAAAAAAACCAACCTATTGCCTCAGAGTTGAATCCAACTCATAAATAACCCTATAGGACAGAGTAGAACTGCCCTTATAGGGTTTCCAAGGTTGTAACTTTTTACAGACACAGACAGACACATCTTTCTCTTGCGGAATGGCTGGTGGGCTCGAACCACACCCACCTTTCTAGGGAGCCAGAAATCTAAACTTCATGAAAACTCTAGATTATTAAATATCAGCAAATTCAATAATGTTTTTCAAACCCTTGTATGTACAGACACGTCTGCAAGCATTGCTGTCTCCTCCTACCTGGCCCTCTCCAATCTGGCCCACTAGCAGTCATTTGAGACCTCTGCAGCGGTGGAGAGTTGCAACAGGAACCCTAGGGACTTGTGGCCCAGAGCCAGCATTGCTCTCCAGGTAGAAGGGACAGAGTAGGTGGAGGGGAAGGAAGGCTCGCTCCCCCCTTCAGGAGCGACCCCCGGGAGACCTCTGGCGGGAAGGGTCAGACAGAAAGGGAGGCCTTGCTGAGCCCCAATGAGGTAGCCAGACTCTGCCCCACCCCAGACAGCTCCCAAACCAGTCTAACCCGTTGGAGGTGGGGGTTCCCTCAGTAGGAGGCAGTGGGAAGGAGGAGGTCAAGTGGGCAGGGCCAGGGGCAGAAGCCTGGAGCCACCGCTGCCTCCCCCCTCCCCTACCTCCCCCCTCCACACACACACACAACCACCATCCTCAGATCTCGGGTCAGACCAGAGCAGCCAAACCCAGCTTTGAGGCCAGTTGCCCCTCATCTCAGGCTCGCCCACTGCCTGCCGCGCGCCTTGCCTGCTGTGGGCCTTGCGCAAACCTCGGTACCTCCTACGGACTTCCTTATCTGTGAAATACTGATAAAAATAGACCTTCCTGAACCTTCAGGCCGTCGTGAGGATGGAGAGATACAGCAGGTCAAGGACTTCTCCTTGGCAAAAACGCAGGGCTCCCGAACAAGAACAGCGTCCCTTGTTCTGTTGTTATTTTTAACAACCAAACTCGGCAGACCACCCCCCTCGTAGGGGTCTCTACGCACCCTCCGGAAGGGTCTGTCCGAGGTTAAGCGGCAGACAAGGCATGCGTCATACAGGCTAATCAATGAGTTGACCTGAACAAGACCCATCTGACAGGAGGGCAAACGGCGATGCTGCGGCTCCTTTGAGTTGAAGCCAGGGTCCCCGTTGGGGCCCGTCCCACTTGAGGCCTCTTCTACTCCCAATACCTATCCCCACCCACTGGGCACAGAATTTCAAACGTTGCCCCAAATGCCCCCAAATGTGGAGCCACAGGTCTATCTCGTTGGCATCCCCAGAACGCACCCTCGCCCCGCTCTCTCCCCACGGACTCCCCAAGGTCAGACAGAAGGGTTGAGGGGTTGAGTTCCCATCCCCAGTCTGCCCTTCCCCACCTCGAGGCAATCTTGGGCACCCACGGCGCTGTGTGTCTCCGACGGCTCGCCGCCCCTCTCTGAGCTCGCTGACCTGGTTTCGGAATAAAGGGACTGATGCCGCAATCCCTGCGGTCCCATCCAGCCCAGAAGAGACCCCGCCTCATCTCAGCCTTCTGGGGGAGGGAGGAGTGCCTGAGCCCACTCCCACCCCAGACGGACGTCCCCAGCCCCGATCCGCACGTACCTGCCTGCGCCCGCGCGGTAGCCTTACGCTCCACCGGCCCGGCCCACCTGGGGCTCAGGTAACCCGCATTTGCGTAATTTCCGGCGGCCACAGGCAGGTGAACCCGCCGGCCCAGGTGTTACTCGAAAAAGGGTAGCGAGCCAGGCAAGAGCCGCAACCCAAGCCCAGGCGCGCTAGCAGCTGGCTGGGCGCAAGGAACAGGACCTGTGCGCCTCCCACAGCTTTCAAGTGCCAAGGCCCGCCCACCACACAGCTGTACTAGCCCTAATCTGCGCATCTGGCTCACGGGGACCCCGTGACCTATTCAGGCAAGCGCATTCATCTTAGAGATAGAAAAACTGAACCCCTCAAAGAGGCTGTCGGAATCACGGCCAGTTAATGGTCACTGTGCCAGGCCTGGGAAAGTGCATTTTCCGGTATCAATAAATGCATTGAATCTTTCCTAACAACCCCTATGAGGTGAGCGCTATTATTATCCCCATTTAATGAGTGGAAAACTGAGACTGGGACAGGCTGAGTCACTTGCCCAAAGTCACCCTGGGAAGTCCAACCTGGGCACTTTCCCTGCAGACAGAGTCTGGTTGCCTTCCTAGCTGTGTGTGTGTGTCCCTGGGCAAGTTGCTGGATCTCTCTGGCCCTCCGTTTGTCAAGTGAGAAGAGCCCCACCTTCCTGACAAGGCCAGTGTGAGCTCTATGGGCTTGAGAGTGCTGGGCAAACCTCCAAGCTTCCTGCAAGCTGTAAACATTAGTAACACAGTAATAATACAGCATTAGTAATACAGCAATGACTACAATAACAGGAGCAACTCGAATTTTTGAGTGCCAGGACCTGTACATACTTAAACCCTCGGACCCCTCTGGGAGGGAGGTACCATTTACTCCCCATTTTACAGGGGAGGAGACTGCAACCCCCGCAGGAAGGAATCCCTGGGAGGGAGGTCGATGGTCTCATCTGCTGTCACTTCAGGTGGGCACATGCATTAAGCCATTTTCCTGGGGTCCTGGGGGCCAGAGAAGAAAATGCCCACCAGGCCTCAGACATGAGGCCAAAGGGGGCCCAATGCCATGTCTGTGCCTTGAGGAGGGGAGGGAGGCTGGGCCAGAACTGGGGTGGAGGGCTTGAGGGGCAGGAAGTGA